CAAGTTTTGCTTCTTCTCTAACCATCTTTTCTTTCTCATATATTTATGCATACCCCTTTTGTATGCAGCCATTATTTAATGAAAGGTGGCATGTACATGGCCAGAAAAAAAATCACATGCTGTCATACTACTTGTTTGATTTTGCCAGCAGCTAGTACCACCTCTGGTTAAGTTTCTCTACCATTTTTTAATATTCATTCAGCTTTAAAAAATTTACATCAAAACTTTCAAGATTACTTTCTGCCTACATTGGTACTTATGAGGAAATTTCCTGCAGAAATGATCCAGAAGCTAATTTTTTTTGGTCTATTTCCATTCAGAAAGTTACAACTGAAAACTTGCAGTTTGTGCATACTCAATAGACACTACTTTGAATTTAACAGATGATATCTCTTCATATTTATCCATTTGAGTTTGACCAGGACTTTTGGCTTTCCAGCACTTTCAGTACAGTAAGCTGTACTAGGAATTAGAATCAAAACTTACTAAACCAGGTGAGCAAATCTTCTACAACCCTTTGTAACTTTCCACTGAACTCAAGCACAATGGGCAAAGAAGCTAAACTGATTCAAACACAGAGCCAGGTCTAGATGTGGTGAGACAAAGTACACAGGGACAAATACCTCATTGATAGAAGGAAAGTCAGCAAAAAATATCAGGGATCTGACATAACAGGAAAACTGAAATGACCGACATGCAATCCCATATCTGTACTGACAGGCAAGCCATTTTTACCATAAATACAACCTTTAATAGACACTAACTAGTTATTTATTCTCTATTTCTGAGACCTTTACTTGCCATACTAGAATCTCCATCCCAAGTTTTATGGACTCAGAGCTCCATCAGAAGACAGTTTCCTATGTTCTGAACATTTGCAATGCTTTATAAGGCTAACTGCACTCTAAATTTGGGTCTCCCACATCTTAAAATGAGATTTGTTTCCTATCACTCACCTTTCTCAAAAAGAAGGAATACCAATAAAGTGCCGGAGAGCCAAAGGGAATGAACACCTTCCACTGTGTACTTGCTCCTGAGATGGAGTTCACAACGTTTGTTAGAGATATCCCTTTCTGGGTAACACAGATAACAGCTTACCACATAAGGCTTTTGAGAAACATTTTAACTGTGCCCTTGAAAATGCAGGCCCAGACTTAACTGCATTTGTTGCATTTAATAGCTTTTAAAGCTAGAATGACCCATGCAATTACCTTGCCTGTCATTCTACATAACACAAAATACAGAATTGCACTGAGCTCCTGAAGTCTGGGTAACGTAGATACATTCATAGAATATAGCTGCCCATGTGCTCTCTGCATTTTCTCCCTGCATTTTCTAATGCATCCTTTGTTCTCAGCAAGTCTCTTAATGTGTGCAGAAACCCTGTGACTGGGAACCAGGCTCTGTGAAGATGTCAGAGCATACAAAAACTAGTCTCTACAACTTCAAAATAATCCTTATGTCTTGAAGTACAAATTTCCTTATATACCTTCCTTATATACTTTCTTCATATGCTTTCCTTTGCCAAGAGTTGACTGAAATGATGGTTATTCTTTGAATGTAAGTTTAATTAACTTATTAACAATTCAACAACTAAGAAATACAGAGAGAGATTTGGAGAAAGTATAACTATGGAAGAATTTTTTAAGAATATTTTCTTATTATGAGGGTGACCGTGCACTGGAACCCATTGTCCAGAAAAGTGGTAGAATCTCCATACTTGGAGATATTCCCAAGAGTACTGGACATAGCCCCTTCCTGAGAAAGCAGCTCTAGGTGACCCTGCATGAAAAAGGGACTAGATATAGACTAGATGACCTTCAGAGGTCCCTTCTGTGATATCTGGGAGGTTGAGCCGTTCCCTATCTACTGCTTCAGGAACTGAGGTCAGCTAAGAGCGCCTTTTTACACCTCCCGACTGAAATACTTTCTAAAAGGTAAGTGAAGCAGTTCAAGCTACTTTTTGCAAGCAGTTATTATCTACATTGGTGTTTATGCAGATGCATCAAATCATTGCAAGTAAATTAGTATTTCTACAATGTTTTCAAGATACAACGCATTTGTATATTTGTCTGTTCGTATATTTGCACAGACGTGTATATCAAAACAGACTAGTTTTTTTCTGGATGATAAAAGCAATTCACTGCCTTTTTTAAAGTTAGTACTCAAAATTCAGCTCCCATGTACTTACTATTCATCTGAGTTGATTATACTTTAGTTTCTTTATGTACTCTCTAAAATATGCACTAATAAAATCTTATTGGACTTTTATTATCAACTATCTCAACACACAAATGTTGCAAGTTGCAATGATTTTCTGGTCTTTGAGAGTATGAGTATAGATTACTCAGCAATCACTGCATTTGTTATACTGTCTCCAGCAGTTGATACTTCTGGAAAGGTAACAGATTTTACTATCATTTATGCAATTTGCAAGCATTCTGCAAAATTCAAAAGCATTCAATTCATTTCAAAACAATACAGGAGTGAATTCAGTCTGGGTAAGCAACTATGATTCACTAAAATCTTCTCTTAACTGATATTCCACAGCAGGAAAATTGTTAGAAATAATCCAGATATTTAGGACCTTAGCTTGCAATAAATGCTTTGAAGTAAAAAAGTAGGATTTAAAAATCAGTGGGAGAATATGGCTCAAAAATGCCTATTTCAAAATTATAGTGATGCAAATATTATCACTCAGCACTCACTTGCATACAGTCTGAGCATTTGAAATAAAAGCCTCGAGATCTAGAAGTGTGAGATTGCATTGACATCAATGCATTTTAGTCCTTGAGTAGTTCACCTGATTCATCTCTATAACAAGAATATGTGATTGTCTCTAGAATGGACAGGTACTTATAGTAGCAATGGCTCTTGTGGTGGAGCACATTGAAGTCTGCTATTTTTAAAGCTGTTCTAGAAGGATGTTAGTGAGAAAACAAAATAAATGTTTTAGTGAAGAATTACATGGTTGAGAAATCATACATGAGAGATACTCTTCCCAAAAGATTTCACTGATTTTGCATGAGTACACTTCAGGCTATGCTAGAGGAAGTCTTGTTGGGCTATACAGGAAGCAGTTATTAAATTCACCTGGCAGAGTTAAAGGAAGTGATAATCTCCATTTCTGGTCTCTTAATGGCACCTGACTCTGTATCATTTAAGACCACAGATGACTCCATAATGAGTCACCACTGTAAAGAACATGTTACTAAACACACTGTTAGAAGAGTTGCCTCTATTAGAAAACACAGTTCAATTTTGGCGCATGTAATAAACGTGCAAGTCAGATGTAGCTACTCCAACCATTCAAGTATTGCTGTAATTAACATTTCTGAACAAAAGGATAGACAAGACTTGGAACATCATAATAAACGTTACTCTTCAGAAGTCAAACTATCTTTGCAGTAAACATATTAGCAAAAGAATAATCATAAACTCTTGCTTATCTTGCTTATGCCAAGTAAAACGAGGATATAATACCTAAGTTCATGCATACTAAGTGTTGCTGAAAATACTCTCACTCCAGTTGTGGCTGTACAGCTGCATAGCCCCACCTCTGCTTAGCCAGGTATGCTTTTGCCCACACTTCAACAACTTGCAAAGAAATGTAGAAACAACACAAGTGTACGTACCCTACACTAGGATGCTGCTAACAGAGGCCCATTTGCCAACATCTTTGGGAAAACAGAAACAGTGTTTCTGTAAACAACTCTCACTTTTCACTATGTGAACATACACTAAAAATGCGTCATTTTCATAAGCTTTCATACTTTCATCAAATAGTGCACTTAGAAATTTTCCTGAAGGCGGTTCTTTACATTCACATAGATACTTGAAATGTTTTTCTAATGTTTCCATGGGAAATTGGGTAACAACACATTTAATGTTTCCAACAAATAAATTATACTTTAATTCTAAGAATCTATAGAAAGTTACAATTTTTAAGCTCTTCCCAGAATCATTTGAAATTGTAAAATTCTAAACCCAATAGGGTTCAACAACCTGAAGTGTTTATATATTAAGACTTGCAATTCTTAAGGGAATGTTATCCCCTTGGAGGTTTAGGACACTGAACCCCCTCATCCTTTCATTCAGAGCTAACAGTTTGAACAGATTACAGCATCTGCTTGACTTCAGAGGTGCATTCCCAGTTCTGTGGCAGAGAATGATTTTTTTTTTTTTTTCTTTCTGACAACAATCCAGGTCCTACATATGCTGGTCAGTACTGGTCAGTACTGGAATAGCAAAAATGGCCAAGTGGTCGAAGATCTAAAATGTTCCCAGAAGTTCGAGCTCTTATTTTCATTTACTGTTCCCTAAAAATTTAGGGAGACCTTGATGAGCAAAATAAAACTTACAAGGCCTGTAGGCCTTGGACTAAGCAGCTCTTTTATTGAATATAAAGATTCAAAATATTTCTGCGTATATTTAACTAATGATGCAAGCTTTTCAAATTGCTTGAAATCATTACATAAATTCTCTCTCTGAGAATTAGTAGAGAAAACAATTTTGTTTCATTCGGAGATGGGATAATCAAACTTTATCTATATTCTCAGAATTGAGGTATTTATTGTTCCACAGGAGCAAAGATGTTGGATTGCACTGATAAGCAAGTTTGGAGCATTTCCAGATTAACTTCCACGCTGCATACATCAGGAAATGCCACATCCTTCAATTACTTACTCTAAAAGGAGTAAAGAAGTTGTTGAGTTTTCTGGGGAAGTTAAGAAACGCAACAGTACACTTAAGTCATTCCTCTGACAGAATAGGCATGGAAAGCTCACCTGGGCATTCTTCTGGGGTGTCTCAGAACCAGGTCTTCAGTGTATCACAGGACATGCGTGGTACTTGGCGAGACTGAGCTCATAAAAATATACTTTACATATAAAAATACAGCAGACATCCTTCCAAAAATCACTGTTATTCCCTCCCCTTGTTTTATACATTCAGAAACAGACAGTTGAGATACACTGTAAACAGTGCAAAAGACTCTCTTCTGTTTATAAAAACACACATTGCATTACATTTAAGCGCCAACTGAAAGAAAAGTTGAGAAAGGTTTTATCCTCAGAGAAGTTCTGGTCCAAGTCGAACTTTTGTTTAGTGAGTTGTAAACAAATGTCTTGGAATGCAGACAATTCTCTCATTTCTTTCCAGCTAAGGTAGTCTCAAAAACATCAAGTCCTGCTTTGAAGTAAACCTGAGCTGAACTGATGCTGTTCAGCACCTCTGACAAGGCTGCTTGAATGGTCACATTTGACTGATGTAGTTTGCAGTGCTCCAGTGCCTCTAGCAGTACTGAGAACTGGCTTGTTCTTTCATCTAGCCTGTAAAGAATATTTCTAAAAGAGAACAATGGAGAATGATAAACTTTTTGCTCAAAACAATCGTCAGAAATCATCAAGAATCCCTGCAAGTATCAGTCACAAGTTACAGACGGTACATGCTGCGCACACTAAAGCTGACCCATGGCAGACTGAAAGACAACTGCATATTTATTAGGCTTTGTAAACTGTATCTGTCCATTGATTTACGTGTAAATATGATGAAACATACACAAAATCTGTTAAAGAAATCTCAAATTCCTCTTTGGCCTTTGAAAATTCCATCAATATCTTGAGCTTATGCCCATCACAACCTAAACAAAGAATTTCATGTCTCAGCTGGACTCCACTTAGTCTTCTCTAAAAATAAGTTTAGTCATTACTTTTGACTGTAGGCATGGAACTTCCTATCTGCTCCTATTATTTATTTCATATTTCAGAGGTGAAATTGCAGCTGTACTGAAAAAAATGCTTAAACTCTCGTTGTCTCTAGCAGCACCCTTAGTTCATCCTTTATGGACAACACAACAAGAACAATCCATTTTTAATGTCACATACTTGAAGAAAGAAATAAGTGGGATACACAGGTAAATCCTACAACACAAAATCTGTTTGTTTTTTTCCCTATAATAATATCTGCAAGACTTCTTTAATGGTTCATTTGAAGATACATGCAAAGGTGATGCCCAAATCCCTGGGAGATTACCTGTATGATGTGCTGAAGGCTCATTATACAAAGCTATTCATTGATTTCAATGAGATCCTTTGAAACAGGCTATAAATATCATCTGAAAGCAGGTGTGATCATTATCCTAATTAAAGGAACATGTCAATATCATAAATCTCCACCCAGAGGCTCCTTTGATTGTAAACAGAAGTGAGTGAAATTTGAAACGGAAAAGCTACAAGTGCTCTGGTGCCTCATCACCTTATCCTTAACCACAAGGCAGGGGTTCAGGGCAGCAGAGAAGTTGTTTCTCTGAATGAAACCAGAAATAAATCAGGACAATTTAGATAATCCATTAGTAACCTAATTGCATGACAGCACAGGTCCAATGGTAACAACAAATTAGTAATAAAACTGCTAACCACCTACAAGACAGATGATCACAAAACTGCATCTTATAAGTCATTCAATTGCCAGCCTGCAAGGAAGAATGGCGATGACACCACAGAACAGCCACAATCTTCTGCCATGTTTTTCGGACTGAAAAGGTGCTTTGACTGAAAGGCAATGTTTTTCAAAGACTGAAGTTATATTATGGATTGTCCTTAAAGCTTCTCTGTGATATAGTAAACGAAAACTGTGTATGCTGAGAACTAGAAATATTCTTGGTTTTTCAGGATAGGCTGTGCTGTGGAAAATACTGTAGTTTTCAAAGTGGGGATTGATTTTGCTCCCTCTGAAATCAATTCAGGGACTCCTGCTGAGATCAGTGCATGCAGAATCAGGTTTTTGAAGAACTCTCCTCTGTCATATCCACAGTTCACAGACAGACAGAAGCCTGTTCACAACCCCTCAATGCCCTTGAACAGCAGTGGCAATGGTAGAGACAATCTTTGTTTACATTACTTTCTACTCTCAGGAGGTTTCAGACAGTCCTAGCTGGTGGCTGGCAGATGGGAGAGTTTCATAAAGGACTCTGCTCCAAATGCTTTACAACACTGACATCTTGATCTATATCTCTCTATTCCTTTGTAGGCTGTAATGTCAACTATTAAAAACATCACAGACCAACAAACCACCAGCAGAACAACATTTAGTCTTCTAGGAATCACACTCTAAAAAGAATGATTTGAAGGCTGGAACTTTGGGGACTGCTAAGAAAATATCTGAGGTGAATGGAAACTGGTCTTTTATTTTCATATCTTCAAATGTGCTGTAAACAAGGCACATAAGTAAAAAAAAGATGATTTACGTTGAAATTAAAGGATGTTGATACAGTTTAATTCTACTGCTGGGATTCCAGTGGCAGGTGGTAAAAGGCAAACTTTCCCAACCCATCTCACCTGATTGCAGTGCAAATCAGCATCCAACCAGAAAAACAAAGTAATTTGATGAATGAATGAGACAAGCAGTCTGTTACCATAGTTTAAAAGAATGTCTTAACCGTTGCAACAGTAATATGACCTAAGAATAGCAGATTGCTTAGCATGACATAATCTATTTTTTATTTAAATACCTTATAATAATAAGTAGCATTACACAATACCTGTTTTTCTCAGATTTTCTACTAGAGGCTATCAAGAGGATCTCATATTTTCCAATTACTTATATTTTCTTGACAGCTAAATTGCCCTTATTGTTGTATAAAATGATTTCTGCCTTTACACACATACGTGAGAATCAATTTCTATAATTCTGATTATCTCTGTGCAGACTTCATCAAACGGGATAAAAAAAAAAAACAACTGGTAGTCTGGTTTATTACTTCCATGCCTTTAGAAGCCAAAAAAGTGTTTTCATTAAAAAAATTACATAAAAACTAAAACTCAGCCACTACTTTGGCAGAAGGTGTTGTGTGACCACAACATGCATAACGATCCCAAGACACTTTAATTTATACTGTGCAATTACTTAAACATTCTTTAATACAAATTGGTTTTGTAGCCTACACCTCTAAAACAATGATTCCAGCCTTTAGCCTATTTGCTTAATTATCTACCTTCATCTTCAACTCTTTTGATCCCATACACGTAATTCTCAGTCAGCCTGATCCACACAGAATGAGAAAACAGAAAAGTGCAGTATCTTACTGATGACACTAACAAAATTACAACACACATCACTCATCTTAATGGGCTTGTTTCAATGACACGTCACAGTGACCTGAAAAGCATAACACTGAAGTAGAAAACCTTATTAATAACTTTAGGGCATTTAAAGAGGTAAAATGTCTCCGTACAAGTGAATCAGCCACAGTAAACTAAAGCAAAGAAACTTATAAAATGGATTCTCAATGAACCTTATCTACTAACTTATATGTGACTTTTGCAGGCCTAGGAACATACATTACTGATTGAAATAATGCTGGTACAGTTAAATGCCACTTTATGTTGTCACAAATAGGGACGTAATGTCACCTTTACTAAACCAAAATGAATTTGAAAAATTCTTGAATGATAACACTAAATAATATAATGACTTTAAAACAACTCAAAATAATTTGGAAATTACATTAGAACAATTGGCCAGTAAAGACTAAACCAGCTTACAACATCAATCTCAATGTGAAAAAGGATTGTTCAGCTTACAATAAAGTTTGCATGTAGGTGATGTACAACATGTATGTTGAGTTATTCAGGTACTTACACGTAGATGCTTATCAACAAGTTAAAGTTTGAAATTTTGGAAAGAAAGAAGTTATTAAATTATTAGTACCCTACAGCATGCACATGACCAGAGCAGATGGGGATGTGACAGTCAACCTTTTAAGGCAACAGAGCAGTAAATGTCAGTGTATTCCATCACTGTCCTCAGTCTCCAAAAACTCAGCATGTCATATTTAAGGATCCATTATCTGTAATTTGTCAATAATTTTTGTTTGCTACACAGCCCATCCTTTCTTAAGGGCCATTAATTACCTTCTTTTAGTGCTCTCATTTATAAGGCTTAATTTTTTTTATAGGTATATCTTATAGAAAGATATATTGAAATCATATACTCTCAAAGCTGAGTAGCTGCCAGAAGGAGACATATTTTCATAGTATCAGCAGCCAATAAACCATAGGTAATCTGGGCATCAAGCTGAACACTAATCAAAGGAAAGGCATTTCAAAGGCATCGTCATGTAATAACAGCAAACCAGAAACACTATCCCTGCCAGATAGAAATTGATCTTGCATTTAAGAGACTGGAGTATGGACGCCACTAATCGAGGCAATTATGGCAAAGGGGATCTGGTCAGTATGCATTTAATAAAATCCTGGTGGGATATGGGACTGTAAAGAGACAATTATTCCAAGTCTGAATCTGTTTCTGAGAGGTCAGATTATTACATGCAGCACTGAAAAAAAAATCCTGATTTTGGCAGCTGTTTGCAGCATCTCGAGGCTTTGGATTGATTGCTTGCCAAATAAACAGAGGAAAAAAAAAAGAAGGCAAACTGTAACGATAGCTGGTTGCAAGACACATTATTTTTCATTTTTCTGCAGTTATCTCTGATTGCAACACTTTTTTAAAGGTAATGAATGTCTTGTCATAAAACATCAATCTCTTACTGAATTATTGCTAAAGCTTAATGCAATCTAGCTTAAATTTCATCCTGTTGCACCCTGCAAGCCTCAGACCTTTGTCAGGACCTTCAGTGGTCTAATAACCTACTGCAAGGGCTGAACATCAACTTCACCTTTCACTCAGTTTTTCCACTGTTGAAAATCTGCTCAGTTTCCCTAAGTTATTCATTACTGATGTTGGAGTAAATAAGATCCGTCAGTAGAAGAATCACTTCTACAAATTCAGAGCACAGAACAACTTCACAGAATGAAAATGGAAAGATAAAGAAGCATTAGGATGCAACTGTACTTCATAAGTTGCAAGCCATTATTTATCACAGCTAAAGAGTATTCCTTTAATTAATAAGGCATGATTTTCTCTAGGGTTTTACAGAAATTGAGTTAGTCTAGAAATATCTGAAAAAGCCACACAAGCTATTAGCTTGTTCTGCCATGGAGTATTCATCCTTTATATGCAACTCCACATACACGTAAAAAATCCTTCCATATTTTTTCTGTAATTTCTTAGAACAAGGACCTACATGTTTATACCTCACAGTGAGGTATGCATTGAACTGTATCAACTGTACTTTAAGGAGTTATTTACTGGCAAGAACTGGTAGGAGATATACTTCACTAAATCTCAAACAATGCAGCTGTTGGTAACAAATATAAGCATGTTGTTCTTTGATTTAAGCTACCCTTGATTTTTAAATGAAGGAAACATATGCTGAATAATTTGGAAGAAACTATTTTTTCTTTTAAGGATGTCTTAATCTGTAATACTCAAATTCAAAGCAGAT